AAACGTGACCTTGAGAATCTACTTGAACAGTGGGTCTCTCGCGCGCGAAGGTTACTAGCACTACACAGTGCATGACTTGTAGCATTCTAAACTTTGACTGAGTAAATCGTAGAGGTCAGTAAGCGGGTTTGTTACATGCAAATGAGTAATCATTTCCTGTGGTTTATGTTTCTGTAGGTGTCCCTGATAGGATTTGATCTCAGATGCAGTTGTAAAGTGTTTTACATCCTTTGACCTCTGTTTATTACGACTGAATAAAGATTTCAGTTTTTTTGCTTTTCTCCGAAATGACTGTATCTGAATAACTACATGCATGCATGCAAGTTTCTTTGTCCGTGAATGTGATTATTTTCTGCCATGTCAGTGTGACTCTGGGTCCGGCTCTATAGTGTGGTTTGCAGGATTTTGAATTTCCACGGATATTGCGGTCTTCAGATTTGAGTTGTACACTGTAGCTTAAACTAAAGCTACACCAAGTTTGGAGAAATATGCCGTGCGTCAGTCAAGATAATTCTCTTAGCGCTCACACAGTTCATTTAGTTTTTCTTAACATAGTGAGTCTTTGAACTAGAGCGCGATGTCTTGTTGTTCCTTCGTAGGTATTTACTTAACTTTTTGTTTAACAGTCGTCTATGCAACTACTATGAATTCTTAAGCAAGACTGCAGTTTCGGAACTATAGCGTTCCTCGTCAGTTGCTACTATGCGCATAAACACCAGAAGGACATCTCAGGGAGGTGCAAAATGTATCCCACCATTCCTTATAATGTCAGTGGACATCTTCGCCCGTCAGGGCATTTTGACAGAATGCAGCCAGCTACCAGACTATGTGGAACTCTCACACGAAAGGTGAGTCTTACATTTATTTTATTTTTTTGAGTAAAATGTAGCCTAAGATCATTTAAGTTATTACAGAGCACCATAAAAATTAAATAACTTTTAACAATCATTTTAATATTTCACTTTTACTAAACAGGTAACTTCTTTTTGAATTGACATTTTGGAGTGGAGGGCACTACAGAGGGGCTGTTTTGGTAAATGCAGTATGGCATCATTTTGATGGGCTGTGGGAGAGGAATTCCAGAGGGCAGGGACTGAAAAAATGCACATGGAAGCCGTCCACTCCAAGTGGGGAATGGGTAATCACGTGACCGTACACCGACCGACCGCTCGAGCGTCGGTCCGCACCACAGGGAAAACAATGTTTAATCTCACACTTTCTATCCGAGTGCAACCTGATATTGCACATCCATGTTGTGACCAATTGACAGCTGTCAAAACAGGGTATCCACTGACAAGTATCACCTGATCGTATCGCGGGCTCAGATTTGACCCATCAAGGTCGAGTACCTTTTGAAGTTATCCGCTGACAAGTTACCAGTTTTCAAACGATCGCAGGCTCAAGTTCATTTTTTAAAAAAATGCATAGGAAATACGTTGTGTTCATGAGCTGTACTATTACAGTGTAACATGATTACTCGTTCTTGAAAATTGAGCGCGCACCATTGTAATTGTACACACAACATGTAAGCTGAGTAACCAACATTCAACTTGAAAAACCAAAAGCTATCTTTGCAATTTCAGTATTCATTTTGGGGGCCTCTTTTTATTTCATTGTAATTATGACATTAAGAAACGGTCCAGCTAAGAACGATAGGAACAACGGCAACGAACACGTTGGACTGCTAAAAAGGTGCTAACTTTTCTATTGTCTGTACTGACTTCTCATTGGCTTAAACAGCAAAAGTTAACAAAACTTCATAAAGCGGTACATATATTCATCCTTACTTTCCAACCATCTTCCATATAACAAAATCTGGTCTCAGTTTGAATAACAAAGAAATCCTATGTGGGGAACATGTAAAATTGTAAACTTTTCTTGGCTATTGTTTTCAACTCTTGTGATTGGTCAAAATCTTTTAACACAAAAAAACACCCTTTCAAAGTGGAGTGTAAATGCATTTTATTGCGTAAACGGCCTTCATGTAGGTTTATGCATTCTCTGTGTAAAAATGAGAACATTCCTATGTGGGGAAAGCACCGTTGCCGCATAACAAAAGAAATTGCTATCCACCTTACCCGGATCATTACTTAAAGAGATACATATTTCCTCTAAATTCTATTCGGAGTAACTTCAATGGTGGTCTGAGTTTCGTACTGTTTTCGATAGTAGAAGGGAATGTCAATATATTTTGAGGAATAACAAAGAGCTACGAGTTAATAATAAGCCTGTTTTCTATAAAAAAAACTTTTTGAACAAGATTTCATTTTCGTAAATGATCTTTTGTCTGAATTAGGCACCACAAATTCTTTTACTATTATTTGGAATAAAATTAGCAACATTAACTACCTAATTTGGGCAGGGCTTCGTCACTCTGTTCCGAAACATCATGTAAAGAATAGCAATTGTCTTCGCTCAGAAATAAGCTTAATATTGACAATCGATAATAAAGAATTTGATATATTAGAAAAGAAATGTAAAGGTTTTGACTGAGCAAATGTGATTTTTCCCACTTGTATTTCATACTGAGAGGTCGTGGCACGCATGTTGATTTTCTGCGATTTATTATTGTTTCTGGTCGGCATTATTTGCCCTCTGATGCAAGAGCGTTCTCTTTGACCTCCCTTTGAAATGCAAAGCTCTTTATGCGGCTAAATGATGGTTTCAGGTTGTTTAAGTTTCTCCAAAGTGCCTCCTGGATCTGAATAATTATAAGCGATTTTATTTTTGTCCCTGAAATGTCACGGTTTCCTGCAATGTTTTGTCATGCTGGGCCCAGCTCGTTAGCGTCTTTAGCAAGATGAAAAACTGTCACGAATAGTGATCAGATCTCGCAGAATGGATTGCAGCTGAAACTAAAGCTACATCAACCATGGAGAACTGAGATGTGTCTCAGTCTTGATTGCTCTTAAAGCAATGATTTCAAAAGTTCAGCTTGTTTTCTAAGGATAATGTAAGGCTTTGGACCTGTTCTGCCTGTTGGACTGGAGCTCGTAGTTCCTCCCTTGATTATAACTTTTGAATTGGCTTTTTTAATAACACTATTAACAGTCTTCAACGTTGTTGAGGTCCTTGTTGCTCATATTGATTTAGGAGAATTTAATGAAAATGTCCCTTTAAATATCTTTTCCACAGTGGCTGGCAAACAGACGCCGCTATCTAGGTTGTGCAAAAGGAGGGAATAGGGAGACCGGAGACTGCAAACAACAAACCCCTGTGGCTGACCTGTTACGTCAGCCTTTGACATAAGATACATTTTGGCGGACAACGCTGTCCGTGCCACGAGGTCAAGATTTTGCAACGACGAGGTTTAATCGGTGACGGCAATTATTCACTACCCATTGCGTCTGATACGAGTTTAATATCTTTTTAACATCGGACTATCAAAAAAGATGATCAGACTCACATATAACGCCGAGTACTGAATACTGAACTGAATTGCAAAGTTGTTGGTTTTTGGTTTCTCAAGTTGAATGTTGGTTGCAGTCAACTTACATGCATGTTGGGTATAGAAGTAGAATGCTGCGCGCTTAATTTTCAAGAACGAGTAATGATGTTAAATGTCGGTAGTTAGTTGAATTATCAACTTTGAATGTTGAAACGTGAAGTTGAAAGTTGGGGGTTATAACTTAATGTTAGCTACTCAAGTTGATTTTTAGCGGGAATTGAACACCATACTCATCTGTACTCATAGAGGCTCTTTACTCTGCTAAGACAATTCAGTTTTATTTCTTGGCATCTAAATTAATTACGAATAAATGACACTGCCCATAACAACATTGGCTGCTTTAAAAAGGTAAAAACAAAAAACAATAATACCATAAAACAGTATTACTGAATGGCTTCAATCTCATAGAAGGATAAAGTGGCCAAGCTTGCAAACAAAAGGATCTGTATTATTGAAGAGACAGCCAGTAGAGAGCGTCATTCTGAGAAAAATACTGATCTGTGCTCAGTACGAGAACAAGTCTAGAACACAAGGATATTTTACAGAGAAGGCAAACTCTTTATAGCTATCTACAAACGTTAATTTGTAGCTTACCCGTGCCTATCTATCTGTGTTTAATCGTTTACAAAGGGATTTCCACTATCGCGAATAAGGTTTCTCCGTTTGATCAGTTCAAAACAAAATCACTTGAGACGCGTTGGGACCTGAGGACGACCAATATTGTTTCCATGAATTTAACGAATATCCTAACAGTTTGAATCCGCAGAAACAGTTGCTAAAGGAAGTTGAAGATGGGTCCGGGGCAAATATCTTTCCTAGACACCCTATTATTCATGAGAAGGACGAGGGTGACAGCAAACGGCATATAATAGAAAACACTGCAATACCCACATGAATTTGTCAGAATCGAATTTTCTGTCGAGCTACTAAATTACTAAAAACTCCGGTTAACCTGCCGTTATTTGTTAGACTCCGGTGCAGTTAAATTGGTCCCTAAGGAGATGTCATAAAATATAGGAACGCCAGAACAATAAAGGGGCTCTACTCGCTACTGCTATACAAGGTGGTCTTCGAGATTCCTAAGAATACCTACAGGGATAAGTTCTAACAACCGAAAACACTCCCTTAAAGCAAATTCCTAACATGGAACTACGCTACCAAAAAAAAAAAAAAATTCCTTCTGGTCCAACATAACGACAAAACCCGTGGTGCTATGGTTAACCGCTGTTGGTGCTTTATCATCTCATTTTGTTGTTGAAACTTCTGCTATTGATAATGCGAAAGCTCCAAATATAATAATTTGTACACGTTAGTTGCTAATCACCTTTTTTGTCATGAGTGGCGTTACTTTGAAAATATCATGAAAGAGATGGTAGCTTTCTTTCTCAGCAAAGGTATAGTAAAAGGTGGAGAGCTGATTATTTATTTATTTATTTATTTTTCGCTGTGACTTATTTTTGTTGGTCTGTTGATGTTTTGTGTTGTGATTGTTGTTGTTGCTGTTTGTTTGTTTGTTTTTTATGCTTTCTTTGTTTTATGTTGCCGCCCGGTTTCAAGCCAGCACTTCGTAATAAACCTCCAACTCATCTGGGCGGAAATTATTCCCGTATCGTGATCCAACCCAGAGATAATTGTCACAATAGGGACTGCGGTACGAGTAACAATTAAAGTAAGACTGGGTATTTCCTCCCGCATTGTCCGCAATATACATATCATGGCCCGCACCAAAGGTTGGACCATAACCATTGTTGTTGTAAGTGGCGTGGCCATAGTAGCCGTTGGTTATGTCCTGTTTGAAGTATCCATACCCGTTGTAGTTTCTCAGTGAGTACAAGAAAGTATTTGTCGAATATTGATAACCACCAGACCCTAAAGAGACAAAAAACAGAACACAAACAATTAGAGATTCAGTGTAACTCAGCCGAGTTCAATAGACCATTTTACATTTATGGATGGAAACGAGGCTGGAGTGGACCTTGCTTTGATACAACCATTTCTGCTTTCTTAATATGTAAAACGTGTTTTTTTTTATTTATTCCAACTAGTACTTTTTAATTATAATTTCCATAAGAAAACAAAGGAGTTTCGTATCAAAACATTGTTATGCTCTAAGGTGCAACAGGCGCTTCATTGTACCTAAATGCAAGACATCGTTTTAGGAATAGTTTTATTATTAGATCCTGTACTTAGATTTTTAGACTTTTTATCACATTTTTCACACTTTTTTATTTACTGTAATTAGTTTTATGTACACATTTTATCAATTGCATCATTTGTAAATACGCAATTCAGCATTTGGGCAGCAAAGTATTGGTAATAAACTATCTAACTATCTATCTATCATGGTCATCCTCAGTCTTGCACTCAATCGAAGTCTAGGATACTAAGCCCACAGCTGTAAAATTTTGTATTTTTAGGAAACGGTGGTGGGTTAGTAAATACTGAGAGCAGGGAAGGCAGGGAAGTAGTATACAATGCGTGAAATACCACATAAATCACGCTCAAATCCTCATGAATTGGAGCATCACAGGTTGCCTTCGTCCCCAGGGCTTTTCCATTAGAAAATTTAAAAGAAACGGCGGTCCACCCCTATCAGATTTCAAGAAAAAGACCTGGTAGAACCAGCTGCAGTACAGCAGTACTAAGCCCGACCTTCTCCACTAAGCCCCATACCCCCGCGGCCTCAAACGCGCTTGTTACAAAAAAAGAAATCAATAGATGAAAAATAAATTATAAATAAAGCAGCCCGAGGGATCAACACAGTTTTTTTGTTGGCATGTTTGGAGCGTTTTAAGCAGAACAAACATTTATCCTTCTAGATCTGGATACGTCTAATCCCCGATCATACAAGAAAACGCACGGCCAAGCCGTTGTACAAGGAGAAGCCAGTGGCTAAAACAGTTGTCATCACCGATAATGCAAGGAAAATTTGCCAGATTGTGCCAATCAAAACCACTGGTTTGTCAATAATACCCATGGCTTATGTTTAGAATGCAGTTCATGCTTCTGCAATGTTGTGACTTTGGATAAGATTGTCAGGTTGCGAGTATTTGATTAAACTCTTACCACACAATCCTCTCCAACTAGCAGTATTGCTAGTAATTAATAACAATCTACTTAAGACTAGAGTTGTTTTGAACTACTTGCGAAAATTTTAAAGGCCCCATCTCTCCTTCCTTTGACATTTGGGGTTAATAACCCCCGGTTTTAATTCAGTTCAACTGGTCGATACCTTCTTCGTATCTTAGCTATTTCACAGACTTACACTTCCATGACTTGTCGCTGTAGCCTCCAAAAATATAGATTCCGACCCTAACAATTATTACAGTGGGTCCTTTGTTATCGCAATAGCTGTGAAAGGTCTGTGAGCTCCAGCCATGATTAGAGGCTCTATAACACAGTTGCCAATAACTTCTGTCTGGACTTTGCAAGTGCGGAAGAAGCCAGGTATTTAACTGCGATATCTTGCTGGCATCGTTCGCTACAATAACGGAGTCATCGAGGCCACCTGGTAAAAAGATAGTAAAACAGAAATTCATCCTTTTTAAAGGTGCTGTATTTCGGAGACTGACAACGACTCCAGTAATTGCTATACCTTAAAAAAACCACTTGACTGATTAAACATATCAGCGGGGTTAGCCTAAAATACACTCAGAATTAAAGTACCGAAGGAAGTCAGAAGCAATCGAAATAATAAACAAGTAACTCTCGCTTTCGGTGCATTTGAAATTTCATTAAGAGTATATTCTTGGACAAGAGCATAATCAAGACGATCGACAGGCAGGCGAGAGGTTGCTCTTTGCCGACATAAATATTGGTGGATACCTTTTCCCAGAAAATAGAAGTTAACAATTATCAGAGTAGTGGTAAAACGAAGAGAACAAAATGAAGTAAAACATATAATTCGGCTTACGATGAGGAGTGCATGTTTTCCCGTCACCAATGTAATGTGCATTCACGTCGCACTTGCAAGTAAATGACCCTTCTGTGTTAGTGCAGATTGCATGGGAGTGACAGTCATGGGTGTTGAGCGAGCATTCATCAACATCTGGAAGATAAAAAAACTTTTATTTATTTTATTGCCTTCTTTTTTGTCAACGAATGTCATAGTCATAGGAGTGAACTTTTCAAGACATAACAAGAACGCTAGTAGACCATCGTGAAGAAATGACTTTCAATTCTGTGCACGCATGTAAGCAGTGGCGAATTCAGATCTGCAAGTAAGTAGAGGACCCAGCTGAGAAATTCATTTTACTCAACCCTTCGGGCCTCCGTTTAGCCTAAAAGTAAAGCTAAATAAGGAGGGGGAACGGGCCGCCGCTTGACGAGACGTCAAGTTAAAGTCTTTTTTCTTCCCAGAAATGCGTTTACATTTCGTTATGTTTATCCGCCCAGTTTGCTTTTTGTTTCTTCTTAAACGACATCAGTAGAAGAAGAGGAAGAACAAGAACGAGAAGAACAACGAGGGTGGAGACATTACCGTTTACCGGGTAGTTTTCATAATCGTCCACCACACGACAGATATTAGTTATGAAAAAAATACAAATAAAAAATTCTACAACTTCTATAAATGTCTAAAAATATCTGCAAACCTTAAAATGTGCTAACGAAGCGTTGTCTTAATTGGTAAACGTATCAGTAGACAGTGCTTTTCTGAACATTGCGTGGGAAACTATGTCTCTATATACGAATGACCTCACTTTTTCTATAAACGACAAGCACTTGCTAACTTCCTATGCTAAGTCCTGAGCCGTTTCTTTAACAGAGAGGTGTCAGAACGTTGTTATGGGTGGCGGATCTAGTACTATGAGCATGTGAAGAACGGATATGTTTGAAATAGGACGTGAAATAATCAGGACGATGATCTTGACTCACTTTGTGTAGAATGAGAAGTTTTGCTTTACGTATGATGTCACCTATGGCCAGACAACCTAATATTTCGAAATGCTTTACAGAGCTGTCGTTTATAGTATTCAGTATTTATTCAGAGGCTTGTACCTCGACAGGTTCGTCCATCCCCAGTGAAGCCGCTGTTACATATGCAAGTGTAGGATCCATCTGTATTATAACAAGTCGCACTGCTGTCACACTGGTGACCTGAAGAACATTCGTCGATATCTGAAGGAAAAAAAATTACTCTTTACGAATGTTTCAAGGAATTCAAAGTACCGTACGATTTTGAAGCTTCTGGCATATTAGCCCCATCAGCATACAAGAAAGCCTCTCATGATGAATCCCCGAAAGTTTAAGCCCGCGTAACAAGATCTAAGAAGCGTCCCCGCTCGGGTTTGTTGAGAAATTTGTAACCAGAGCGGAAAGCTACGCAATCTACGGGAGCTTAGATTCTAAAATTGCAGGGAAATCAACAACCATACCTACTTTAGATCCCTTTTTGGGCTGTATTCAAAACTATACTCTATGGTCTGTGTACCTATGAACTATAAAATTAGGATAGTTAATAAACTTCATTGCTCAGTGTTGTTCGAAGAGATTAGGTTAATGTCCAAATTTTATCATCTCTGAAACTGGAAAAAAAAAAAGTTGCTGAGAAGATCTCCCTCCTAATTTATGCCAGCCTGTGTTTAAACGCTTATTTTACTACTATTATACGCTGCTCAGTATTTAAAACCCTCTAAAGAGTTATTTGAAAAATAAATTTTCAGGCAATTTTATGGTAAAAGCATGCTTATTCTACCTTAGAAATTCGCCCCAAGCTAGCTTTAAACTCACAAGAGATGTCTCTATACCATTGGATGAGGATCTTTAAAAATTATGCTTCACGAATTAAACGAAAAACTACAACTTGGGTCTTCCGACATAATACCTCTGCAAAGAAAACCATCACCGGCATATCCTATGGAGCACCGGCAGCTATAGGAGCCAATAGTGTTTGTGCAGATAGAGTTCTGATGACAATGGTTATTGTTTCCTCCACATTCATCAAAATCTAATTTTAAAAACGAATATAAAACAATCGTTCAGTCAATCAACCTGCAAAACAAATAATGAAACTATCATTTGTCAATCAAATTTTAAAATCGTTTCTCAGATGAGTCAATCAGCACGAACACTGTTGTGTATGAAGGGGTAATGCAGTACTAAAAGCTCAAACTTATGGATCCTTTTTGTGACGTCTAATTTTCTTTTTCGCCCAAGTAGTGCCTATTTTTCGAATTCTTTGTAGACTAATCCTTTAATTTATACTATTTCTGCAACAAACAGATTTACAGTAAACTCAAATTTTTTGTCACCTAAGAAGCCAGAGAAATGGGCCATTTGCACGACGACGCCTTTTTACTACTAGGACCAGAATTCATTTCGTTTTTTCTTTCATATTTAAATTTGCTAATCCCGGTGAGGTTTAAATAACAAAAGCAGTAATTTGCATAAGAAAGCAATACCCTGAAGGATTCTGGTAGTAGTAATAGTAAAATGACGTCATCGTGCAAATATGGCCTATTGGTTATTGAGGTGTAAATTGGTGAAAGTCAATTAGGATCTTCTCTGAAAATAGAAATAAAATAAATAAAAATAACTCTTAACGCCTGGAAACGTTAAAATAGACCATTTTCGATTTCTAAAAATACCCACACTTTCAAAATGAGGTCAAGAGCAAACCCTTTCATGAGGAAGTAGTTTTATAATCTCAGTTTTGAAACAGGTTTGGGACAAATCGGAAATTGCTTTTGAATAGGAACTAATGAATAATAATAATAATGATAATATCTACGAGGTTGTATGCCTGCCAGAAAACGCACACGGATATGACGGGTGATGTAATGTGCAGGCTATGCAATAAGGCCCCTGAAAGTGTCGCCCATGTCCTGGCTGGTTGTACTGCCCTTGCACAGAACAAGTACATTACCCGACATAAAGCAGCCCCGAAGATACTTTTCTTCGAGATTTTGCAAGACCTAGGACTTGCAGAGTTGGTACCACCTTGGTACTCGCCACTGAAACCGAAGCCAGTGTACGAGGCGAGCAATGCGTAACTGTTCTGGGATGTCCCTCTATTTGCGGAGCACCAAGAAGTTGGGGCCAACAGAGTTCATGCTCGCATTAACAACCACGAGTTAAAGCGAGTCGTAACGCTTGAGATGAGCTGCCCATGGGTTACAAACCGGGAGAAAAAGGAGGAGGAGAAAAGCACGAAATACGGACAGCTCCGTTGGGAGTTAAAGCAGAAGTACCAAGGATATGAGATGAAACAATATAATATCATAATAAACGTGTTAGGGGGGTGGTGTCGAGACTTAGAAGTCAGGCTGAAGGAGTTGGTCGGAAGTAAGAGTAATGGAGTTCTTCATAACATGCAGAGGGCTGTACTTTCGGGAACACTAAACATCTCTAGAACGTTTAAAGTTGCAACATGAACCATGAATATCGCTTTCGAAATTATCAACTCTCTTCCTTCAACATCTTTTGGACTTTTATAGTTATGAAGTAATTTTCAGTAATTTTCAGCCGAATAAGTAATATATTTAACAGAACTTTAAAGACTTTACAATTATCATTTTAGATTCTAGATGTCTTGAATAATTTTATCTTTTTCGGGGGAACATTATTTATAGTGCTAATTTTTTTTATTGTATATGTAAATTTTTAAATTTTGACTTCATGTTTTTATACTAAGTTCTCACCATAGTTAACGGGCTACGTTCACACGCCCTGTCACAATATTTTAACGGTATATAGCATACAAAAGTTTTAACTGCTGCATAATAATAATAATAATAATAATAGTAACGCCTGTTGGTATATAAAAGAGGTAAGTCACCCACAAACCTTCTGAACAGGTATAGTTATGGCAAGTACCACAGCTTACATCATTCCACATAAAACTATGTCTGACTCCCAAAGTGTGAACGCAGTCTTCATTGTTGAAGTTGTTTGGTTGGTTCTTCGCCCAATATGAAAAGTTACTGGTTTGATTATCTGCCCAGTCGAAAGTACCCTCAATTACCCTATCGTTTAGCCCAATCCAGCCCTTGGCACCATTCAGCCGATGGTGAATATACACGTTTTCTTCCTTATTCCGCACAGTGATGAGGTTGCCGCTGTATGCTTGGCATGTTTTCTCAGCTTCAGTCCAATTTTTGCACGAATGGCTTGTCGAGTAGCAGATACCATTAAAATATGACCAGCCCGGTTTACATACATCTGCAATATACGAAACATTTTGCGTGAAGTAAATTGCTGGTTTTCAGTGTCACACCATTCAAAATAGATCAAAATAAAAATCAAAACCGTTCAATAGATAAAGTCCGAAATCTGGGAAATGAAAGGAGGTAAATATACAAAGACCCTCGCCAAGATTCAGGTCAGAAGAATATTCCGTATACGAGATATCCGAGGAAATACCCAAATTTATAGAGATTCGTATGAAGACGCCATGCTGTTGCCCACTTGTATGGGTACCAACACGGCGGACAGAAACCAGCAAAAACATCTGTTACCGAGTTTTGGTACAAATGCGTGAATTTATTCCTCGAGGAACTCAATAACATTAAAGTAATACTTTTTCTAAGACAAGATCTCTTTAGATAGCAAAATTCCCCGAAATACGTCACTTTTTCAACCTACATGGCAGCTCTCTCGGCTGTCATGTTAATCTCAGTGCCACGTCACGCAAAAGCTTAGAAATTCAAGCGCACTCTATCACAAAACTAAGAACCCTTTTGAAGCGATAATTTGTATGAAAATTAGTTTTTAGCTGCTCTTATACATCATGAAAGTAAAATATCGGTATGATCGATAGTTTTGTAGTTTGAATTTTAGTGACTTCATGTGAAAACCAACAATAGTGCGTAACAAAGAGAAAAAAAGGCCTAGGCTAAACGTCAAACTTTTCATGAAACGAACCAAACTTAGTGAGTTAAGTTAATGAAACGTTCGACGTCTGGCTCAGCTAAGTTCGTCTGCATGAGTTTGGATTGTCCAACACGTTCAGACGGACAGAGCGTCCGAAGATCGTCTCCGGGACAAACGTCGATCTTTACACGTGACGAATGAAACTAACAAATCAAAAAATTGTTTGGAAGAAAATAATTTTATTACTGAAGAGATCTGATTCAGTTGATTGGTTCGATGCGTCCTATGAAGATCGACGTCTGACCCAGCAGCCGATCTTAACTGAAGTTAGGTCGACTGAAATTAGAGTTTGGTTCGTTCCATGAAAAGTTCGAGCTGACCGAGAAGTTTTTGGAAATAGAAACCGTTACCTGTAGTAAATAGGAACTAAGAAAATACATTTACTGGTGATTACTTAAAGGAGATATGAAACAAGGAGTCTCTAAGTTTACTTGACATCTACCAAAGCTTGCTGGGCATTAGAAGGTCTTCGCAAAGAGAACTTGCCTTATCATTTAACTAACACACCTGCTAGTACTGTATAGGACACAGTCACAGGATCATGCTGGTCAGCGAACAACTCCTTGAGACAAATGCGGAATTCGCTGGTCTTGATGTGCTGTAAAATAATAAGCAAATCATCTAGCGTCTATATTTCGCTTAGAAGAACAGTAATAGCTCAACTTTTAGAGACGTTCGCTTAAACGCCTGTAGCTGAGTCACTTTCCTATCTAAACAAAAAAAAGAAAAGAAATTGGGAAACTGACCTTGAATAACAGATTGACAAATTGATGGAATGTAGAACTTTTCGCTGCGCGACTATGACTGATAAACGGCCGAATGCACGAACAAGACCTTGGTGTAATTTAGCTCATTTGCGCATTTCCTACAGGTTTGTCAGCTTGATCTTACTTATTTTGAAAAAAGTGTGTTGTATATTAGTTAAATAATTTGAGAATACCTCAATCCATGGGGTCACGGACATGTATATTGGCTTCAAATTGTTGCCTTCTGAGTTGTGACCGGCTGCTATTAATACTATGGGTTCTTTGTCGTAATTCATTGCAAATGGGACGTCCTAAGGACATAAAAAGAAGGCTGTTGATATAAAATTTGAAACACCATCCATTTTTATCAATGCATGGTCATATAATTGGTGGCTGGAATTTATCTGCGCTGACTCGAAGGAACAGATAATTTTTGAGTATCAAAAACACTTCTTTGTTCAAGATGATTTTTTTCCCGACGGCTTTGATGAACTGTCAAAAACCAAGTTCCTTTCATGGCCTCATCTCTTTTCTTTTGAAAGCTCATATGACATGATATGGCAACTAAATGTGATATCAATCATGGTCGACTTCCTTCGTTTTTACTCTCATTTATTAAGTTGGGATAAAATCTGGAGTTTTACAGCCGTAAATATGATATAAAACGCATAAATGTTCTTGTTTGATACCCGGGGAGGTACTCCTGGGAATTCTTGGTAGGGATGTGCCGCCTGGTACTCCAAACCCTGACCCTATTTCAGACCAAAAAATGTAACTTTCCGCACCCGTTTTCAGACCTGGCCTTTAGGCAGAAATTATGTTATCATTACTTAGATTAGAGCGCAAACCAAAAAAAGACTTCAAATCCATTTCGAATTCGCATATTTCTCTTTCTTTCTCACTCATTTGGAATTGAAACAATAAATACGTCCATACACTCCTTTAGTCCCCTCAAAAACCACACCCGATTCCAGACCAAAATGGGCAAAGTGTATACTCGTTTTCAGACCAAAACGGCTCAAAAACCCCACCCGATGGAGCGGCACATATTTATATAGTTTATATAAGGGAGTAACCCCCCCCCCCCCGGGGCAGGGGGGTCGATAGCAGCCTGTTTCATCTAAATAGTTACAGAGCCTTCTGCTTAAAAGTAAAGTGCTTCTTACCTTGCAAAATGCACCATTGTAGCTTGTAGAAACAGAATTGTTGTTTGGAAAATCCACGTGTTTGCTCTCAGCGAAAAGAGGCCTGTGTATTTTTTCAAAGGCCATCCAACTCTAAAGAGAGGGATAGCAATCAAATTGGATTGTTATCTCATACCTAAATCCCGTGTAGAAATAATTAAGCCATGTTCCCGAAAAACGATTTGTAAGTTGTATCCACAATACTTGCGAGACCTCATTTCACGTATTTTATCATTGATCCTATTCAGACCGGGCTCTTTTTGCTCCAAGGCATTTGACGATGTTTCGCCCTTGTTAAATGTGGAAATATTAGGAGTGTTGTGATTGCATCGAAAGTGATTTTATTATGTGATTTACCGAAGGTGTTGACAGACAAAACTCAGGTATGTGGTTGAGCTCGTGTTAACAGACTACTTTGTGCCTCGCATAAAAACGCTTCGTGAGAGTTAGTTTAGATGATTTTGTCTTAGAAAGCCTATTCTGTGCTCAAAGATTGTGGCTTCTTAATCTGTTTTCGGCAGACACTTAGCTATGGGCCTCAAGGGTTGGCTGACTAAAAGGTTATAATTTCTGGACGTTTCAAATGTTGTATATTTTATCGCAAAATCTTGTTACTTATGAGAGAGGAATTTACCGCCTGTTGCCAGCAATAAAGTTGTCAGCCAGTAACTTTTAACTGCTTTCCAATCGACTTAGATATCAAATTGATAAAATGCAGTTGAAATTTCTTTAGCCATGTTTTAGCAAACTCGAGACAGATATATTTATAAAGGAGAAAACATATACCACAGAGATATCTTCATGTAGACCATCATAATTCTGTAGTTCTCGAAGACAAATGTAAAAGGAGAAACTGGTTGCGTTTTCCACCCACAAACTTGCGGCATCATGCTTAAAGTCTGCACTTATATGTTCTGCTGTAACGAGGACCGTTGGTGTAGACGCAAATTTTCCCTGTTAAAAAAAAAAACATTCATAACATGTACAGTAAGAAAGTTTAATTGGTAATTATCAAGTATGCACAGCAAAGATGATTGGGAGAATGGCATGTGTAAAATTTGAAATAAATAAAAATTTCACATTATAGGGACGCTCATAGGACATCGGATCGTGGTCATGTGTCTGAACGCGACTGTCAAATGGGCTGCCTCTTTGCAGCTCATGTCTCCAAGTCCAAGTACGATATCTTTCATTGGATAACAATGGAGTGTTTGGTACTTACAACATCAGCATAGCAAATGTTCACCTTATTGAAAAACTAAACTAAAGGTCATTATTTTTTATGGTTTATGGAAAGAAACAAGATGCAGCTGAGAGTTAGCAATAAAGTGTTATTGCCTGAGGAAGGCTGACTTTTGAGCACTGTGATCCAGTCCACCATTCTGGAATACGCATTTTACCCGCCACACCTCCATCAGGAGCACCTTGGTAGGCCATCCAGTCCACCGTGGCAAATTCTTTGATAAAGCGATCATTTCTTCCTGCTGCAGTCACGCACACCTAAATATTAAATGTAATGGCTAATGTTTATTTTATATGGTAAGGTGATATATAGATTTAGCCAAGGTCAAAAGCGGAGCTCTTGTGGTAACTGACTTGCTGAAAAAAAGTTTTCCAAGCCTGCGATCACTTGATTCTATAACTGGTCAGCTGAGAACTTAAAAAACCGTCACCTCAATAAGTAGCACACCTGAGCCCGCAACAAAGTCGTGTGACACTGGTCTGGGGATGCCCTACTTTGACAGCTGTCAATTGATTATAACATGGATGTCCAAAATCGAGTTAAACACAATTTGTATATGTTTTGGACTTACGGCTAGTAAGACATTTCACATCCGTTAATATGAAGCGCGGTCCTACGTACGTACGCACGATTTTGTTAGTAACCAAAATTTCTTGGATGCATAGATAACCAAATTTTCTTACCCATAGTGCCCCTCTGCGCTAGCAAGACGCGAAATCTCCGCTAGTAACTCGTTGTGAAAATAAAATATGTTCAAATAGTATTTTACTGGCCAGAAATATGACAGGTAAACAAGAGCTCTTGGAGATGTAAGACAAATGTGCAGAGGGTCACTAATTACTACTTGGAGTAATACTTCAACTGAAAACTTCCTTTAAAATATTCACCTCAAAATTCTCGAAGTTAACAGTTTCCACCCAGGACACAGTAGCATCATGTATAAAATTTTTCTTGCTTATGTTCCAGTGATTGGTCGTTATCTGTACGTGCACTTCTTTGTCGGGATAGAATGAAAACGGTGGAAATTTCACTACTTCACAGGCCGTCTCTGCCCACTGTACATGTCTCCTCAGTGAAACTCGCCCAGTCTGAACAGGAAAACCTGTCGAGGAACAACAAGAAAAAGAAGATACAACATAAAAGAAAAACAAAGCTAATTAGAGCCGAAAGCGATAAAAAAAACAAACAAACAAACAACAACAGCCATAAAGTTAACATAAAGACAAAAAAAAGATGCATCCTACAAATACCTGATGAGGATGAGAAAAAAAACGTATAAAATCCTTTCTATATGCGAGGAATTAAATTAAAAGTTGATTGAACAATCACACAATCATATAGTGGCACTGTATGATCGGCACTTTGTTGCGTTCAAAACAGTACCAAAATAAGCAAAATAGTATTTAATCATGATTTATTTTGGACCTACAGCTGCACAGAAAATGCCATGTGCTTAAAACGGTGATTCCAAGATGGCACCCAAGATGGCCGCCAAATTGAGTGATGTCGTAAGTCATCAGCGGCACCATATCTGATAACACTAGAGTTCTGCATACGCTGGTTAAGTTGGTTTTAAAAAATCATTATAATCCGCTGTCTTACCTGTACAACTGCCGGGATGATAGAGAGTGTGGTTACTCTTGCGCCTGCAAATGTCCAGCAGACAAAAGCACTTGTTCTTAAATGTTGTCGAGTTGGATGAACACACCGGCTCCTCGTACGACGGGCAGTTGTCATCACATACACAACGGGCATCAAATGCAGAGAAAGCTTTGCAGATGGCATGGTAATCGCAAGTAACGTTTGTTCACGGGTCTATATCTTTAGGTTAAAAAAACAACAAGAAAATCAGCACTTGTATGAATAGCAAATTGACCTGACGTCCTACATCCTTTGAGAGCGCAACTGCTTTTTAATTTTTTTAAATTTTGCTTTGTTTTTCCTGTGAAGAAAATTGATGGCAAAAAAGATAGGAAATGGGGAGTTACTTTTTCTACAAAAGCGTTTGAAAAGGCGATCAATACAATGCTCTCCTTATTTAAACGTCATTTTTTTATAACTTCTTTCTTCGACATTTGATCATAGTTTTTTACAGTGCCAATTGCCTGACTTAATTCTTATTGGAATTCATTTCTTCAATTCGACGTTTGACCCAACGTCCAAATTCCTTGATAGCAGGACGAACCAGTATGAGAGACAAATCTTTGAATTTAAAGAATAAGCAAATATAAGAGTAATGTACCTCCCACGATAGCATAGTTCACTGTAACTGGATCGTGAGACTTGCTCATTCCCTGACTGTCTTTGATGCACGCTTTGAAAGACAAACGAGTGATCTCCTGGAAAATAACATCAAATATACCAAAAAAAGCTTGTATTGACCTGTTAGCGTTTAGACAGGGGCGTCCAGTTCGGGCAATAAGGACAAGAGCAACTTTGAATCGTTTAAACGGACGTACAGTTCTCACAGTTATATAATGGACGCTGCTGTCTGTTACAGTGGGACTACTATAACAGAGGCCACCAAGAAAAAGTTGACCAACCGGATTACATGAAAATAACAATACATTCCGAGAAAGTTAGTCGTCAATTTTAAACCATGAACCCACGGAGCCTCCGTTAGGAAGAATCATCAGGTGAAAATGAGTACGAAAAATGACAATCAGATTGTTGATTCAAGCTATTGCTTGAATTTGCCGTGAAGTGTTAAGTGCCACTTCGAACTTCTTCTTTAGTTATAAGTGCTTTACTCTTTAGCGAAGGCAACTATTTTAATCAGCAAATATTTGAAACAGTTTCAACTTATTAGGTCTCTTCAATGCTACTCACCTCAATCCAGACAGTCAAAGCGTTGCTATAGCGACCATCTGCCTTCATTGACAGTTCCCAGGTGCCATTTTCATGGCTGGCAGACGCCAGAATATTGGGCGGCTCGTAGAATGGATTCTCAAACTTATAATCCTAAAAATCAGGATTTACCAAACACAATAATTTTCTCTCTGACTGTTTAAAGAAATATTGTCGCTTTCATCCTTTTGAAGAAAGTGATATTGTCCCAGTTCATTAAGGAACTTTTTAGGCAAACTTTAGGTCTACAAAATATATCTAATAGTGAATGCACCTCCTTACCACGTTGCGGTCAACAAATCTAAATCACAACTCTTGTGAACAACGTATGAGGTTTTTAACGAATTGTTATTGATGATCAAGAAGGTCGTATCTCTTGTTGGACTTAAACTCTTATTTCAAAAATGAACAATACGCCGATGCCACAGTGTCCCTCAAAGAAATCAGAAATACACAACACAAACCTTGATTGTTACCACGTTGGTTTAAAGGCTTGAGTTTGTAAGTTAAGTTGATAAAAATTGAATATATCACCAATAAACGTCACATTTTGCAACCTGACAAAAAGCATAATTGTTCTCTTTCTTTGGTGCACCAAGTCCAGAAAAATGAAGCCTTCCTTGCTCGGTAAAATTCCAAGCCTCAGGTAGCAAATCATAAGCAAGCCAGTTCTGAAAAGGTGGACGCAAGTAACAGTAACAGCATTAAACGTCTTTCCTTATGGTCTTTAAGAAAACTTAAACTGACGGTCAGAACCCTGAGAAAAATTCGTATCTGCAGTGAAGGAAAGAAGTAAAATACCATGACCTATATTTAACACTATTCTGACCGGGCGTTTTTGGGTTTCCTGGGAAATGGAGGGGAAGGGGCCTTCGAAGGCCCCTTCGAGAACCTTATAACCACTCATGATACAGCCACTAAATTTACAAAAAATAGTGTAATCATCATTCCAACAACTAGGTGTAATGTGATTGACACCGTAACGTAATTTGACGTCACTAATGTCGCCTTGTTGCATTTATTGTCTGAACCCATAGCTTATCAATTGTTCCCGTAGCCATTAAGCAAAAATAATTAAATTACTTAAAAATCATGACGATGGTTGACACTTTGATAATCTTTAACAATGGCAGTGACAACATGATGACGTCGTTTGTTACTGAGACCATAGGCCTTTTTGGATCTGCCATTTTGAATTATTTAAATTTATTTAATTCCATTTATTCCTGCCAGTTGGCCATTTTGAATTCAATTAATTTTTCCAAACTAGTCACTAAAAAGCCTTGATCATATTAAACAGCTACGTAAATAATGCTAAATTAAGTGTGATATAATAATTCATTAAAGGTAAATCTAGAAAAAGTGTAAATTTTGAAAAATATGGCTATCAAAACTGTCCTCAGACAAATTTCAGCAAAATCTCCAAGTTTGATGGTCCTAGTTTGAACGATTTTAAATTTATTCAACATTAAAGTTTTAGGAGGCCTCAAAGCCACCGGGCTGAAGAAGATTTAAAAAAAAAAAATAGATAAATAAATAGATAAAAAGCGGATAGCTTTCAGGTGACATCACAACACACTAGTGAACCCTAAAGTTTCGGCTCAGAATGTATTAGGGAAATGACGAGGAGAGTTTATATGCGCGACTTCAAGAAAACTTTCTTTCTTTTCAAAAAGCCTGCACATGCGCAGCCGGCGGGAAAGAACCCCGCTCCCAGATCAGCGTCGCCCCCCCCCCCTTTTTTTCACTTCCAGTCCGCCCCTCCACCCCTTTCGATTCGTCAGGCTGTCTTTGCAAAGCTAATTCAGAGATTTACGGTTTTAAAACATGTATGGGTTAGGTATTACAATAATTCTTCTAATATAAAATTATGTAATTTATAAGGGGAGGCCAAACTAACCACCAGCGTTTTAATTAGCTTCCATACAATCAGATTTAATTTTAAATTTAATTGATAACAAGTCGGACAAAGAAAAACTTAATAGTCGAAGACTGGGCTAAATTTTTTAAAACTCACCACTTTAAGTCCGGTATGGATGCCGTCGAAACTCATAAACTCTCTCAAGCAAACAACGAAGCCGTCTGCTTTGACCTCTTCTAGCCAGATGTTCATGGAATCAAAAGGACGGTTAGAATGTTTATGTTGAACGGTTACAAACACTTGAGGTTTTATCTAAAAGAAGAGGAAAAATCACCACATAAGTAGCTTAAATATGATTATCGACCGTTGCCCCGAAAAGGGCCGGATTAACAGTGACTGACTTTATGACAAGCTTATGGCCATTATAGCTTCACAACAATTGTTGATTCGGAAAATAATCAAGTATCGACTTCATTTCGGCTTTGA